GGCCGAGGACGAGGTGGACATGCTCATGAGCCCAGCGATGTTCATGTCGGAGCTGTTGTTCCTGGAGATCATGTTGAGGATCGTCTGCTCCGACAGGCTCTCGTCATCACCGTGGTAAGACAAGGGGGAATGGCTGTAAACTGGAAAAGGATCAGTTTAGATTAGATATTAGGAAGCAAGTCTTTACTATGAAGATAGTGAGGCACTGGAACAAGTTGTCCAGAGAAGCTGTGGATGTCCCATCCCTGGAAGTGTTCAAGAATAGGTTGAATGAGGTTTCGAGCAACCTGATCTAGTGGAAGGTATCACTGCCTGTCACAGTGGGGTGGAACAAGATAAGCTTTAAGGTCCTTTTCCAACCAAACCATTCCATGATTCATTCATCACAGCCAGGCTGGATAAAGCCTTGAGCAACCTGCTCTGGTGGGAGGTGTCCCTGCCCAGGGCAGGGGGTTGGGGCTAGATGGCCTCTGAGGTCCATTCCAACCCCTTAACACACTATGATTTTATGATTCCATGTCCCTGGAGCTGGGTAACAGCAGCAGCTCAGTGCCAGCCCTCACTCACAGACAGACACACTGTGCCCCATCCCTCCTTGTGGGGACATTGCCAAGCGCTGGGAGCAGAGCTGCTAGAGCAGCAGGAAAACCAGGATCTCTGCAGAGTTAACTCAGAACACACCGTTTGCTGACAGTGTTCAGATTCCTCCCCCCATGCCCTCAGACACTGTCCTGCACTGCTATTCCCAAAGGAATCAGATCCCACGTTGTCCCACGAGCTCCTTACCCGCCAGTTCCGGATCCGTTTCAGCCTGCTGGGAGTTTTCTCCAGGATCTGCAGGAACTCGTGGGTCAGTTCTGCAGAGGAGACACAAAGCAGAGCAGGAGGGTCAGAGGGTCCACCAGGACAACCCCCTCATTGCTGGTCGGTGGAGCTACTGATGGGATGGAGCTGCTCCAGGAGGGAATTCTGCCAACTGCAGTCACTGACATATCCAAAGTCATCCCTGTGGTGCTACAGAAGCTGCTGCTGCCCTGGAATCCCGAAGCCCAGGAGATGCTGTGCCAACACCACACCCAGGACCAGAGCTGACCCAAAGAGCCTCTGGGGGCAAACCTCACTCCCAAACTTACCATCTAAGAGCTCCAGAGTTACAGTGCCATCAACGTACTCCCACCAGTGCTTCCCGTCCGTGGAGACTGGGATCTCCCAGTTGGACCACTTACAGGCCAGGTGGATACAGACACAGGCCACAACAGGGGGGGTGTACTGCAGGCTGAAGGTGGTCAGGTGCAGGCTGACAGCAAAGAGAGAAATCAGAAAGCCATCAACTCCCTGTCTGCCCCAGGGCACTGCCAGGCTGGGACACCATCAGGCTACGACACCACTGGGGGGACACTGCTGGGGACTGGGGACATCTCCCTGTGCCCAAGACCCCCCAGCACCACCAGTGCCCAAGGCAGCTCTGCCTCAAGCCAGGGAGTGTCTGCTCTGCTCCAGGGAATGTCCATCCCTGCCCTGTTCCAGGGAATTAGGGCTGCTCCACCAGTGTGTTCATCCCTGCCTTGCTCCAAGGGAATGTCCATCCCTGCCCTGTTCCAGGGAATTGGGGCTGCTCCACCAGTTTGTGCATCCCTGGTTTGCAACAGGGAATATGGGGTCTGCTCCACCACTCTGTCCTGCACAATATTCCTGGTTCATCCCTACTCTGCTCCAGGGAATTTGGGATCTCCTCCACCACCTTCCTGGCTCATCTCTGGTTTGCTGTAGGGAATTTGGGATCTCCAAGGGGGAGACTCAGCCCTGCTCTGAGGAGAAACCCCAAGCACAACTCCTGGATGGCACTCTAGGAGCAAACTGTCCCTTGTAGGAAAGGTCTGGTCCTTCCCAAAGGGTTTTCAGGGACACACTGCATGCTGGAGTGACTCAGGGACCCCCAAGGGCAGGTCACTCATCGGGTATTGTCACTAACATGTGAGTTTGCCCCATGGCTGCTCAGCCCTCAGTGCTGGGAGGTGTGGGCAATGCTGGGAATGGGAGACCTGAGGGACCAGAAGGATCCAGAGCCTTGGGAACCATGGGAGCAGGGCTGATGTGGGAATTGCCCAGTCAGGAATGGGTCCTTAGGGACCACTGGGCACTGCAGTGCCATCAATGCAGTGAGGAGAGGCAGAAATACAGCCCAAACTCCTGAGGTTTCATGGATCCTGGGGTGATCTAGACCTCTGCAGGTAGTAAAGCCCAGGGAATTCAGAGCCCTGGAACAGTCTGCCAAGGGAAGGAGTGAACTCAGGGTGCACAGAGAGCCCCAACTCTGCCCCACAATGATGCCAGAAGGAAATCTCAGTGGAACACCTGGATAAACCCAGTTCACCTCTCCAACCCCTCCCTCAGGCACCACCCTGAGGCAGAGCTGAGGCTCCACTTCCCTCCTGCTGCCTGAATCTCTCCCACCACAGCCTCAACTCCTGATTCCTCGGCCCTGCAGTCCTGGCTGCACGGATAAAGTAGGTTTCAGGGCTGTATTTACCCAAACATTATCAGCACCACCTTCCCTTCCCACCTGGAAACCCACACTATGCCCTTTGGAGCTGGAAAACTCCTTCAACAAACAGTGCAGGTGAGCAGGGAACACCTCCAGGAGGGGAACAGGAGGGAACCACGTGCCCAGAGCTAAACACACTCCCAGCCAGGGCTGGGAGGCTTCTCTGGCCCTGCAGCTTCAGCTCTGCTGGCACTGAGCCACCTCTTCCCTCCACAATTCCACTCAAACACAACATTTTCTGTGTCCACAACTTTGGTCTGCCCCAAACTTTGACTCCAGGATTAGAAATTAGATTTCAAACAATCCCAACACAAGTGCTGGAATCAGCCTGGGAGGGGAAATTAGGGACAAACCTGTCCAGAACAACTTGGGGCTGATTTTTCTTTCCAGGGGAGATTTAGGGACAAAACAACCCAAAAGAGCAACTTGGGGCTGATTTTCCTTCCCAAGACTCTGCTCACAGGGCAGTTTCCTCCTCATGGCTGGACCCAACTCCCTTTGTCCCCATTTACACCCTAAACCAGCATTTTTGGAGGTACAAATCACATTCACTGATCAATTCCACAGCACTTTGTGGAGGGAAAACTCTCCAACACCCAAGGACTCAGCAAGGAGAAGTGATAGATTCATCTCACCTTTACTCTTTTGGTTTCTTTGGGGTTTGTTTTTTAGACTTTCACCACTAAATCCCTACAAAACAAGCACTGAAGCTCCTGAGCATCACATCGGCCTCAATTTCCAGCTAGTTCTGCCCAGAGCAGGCAGGAAAAAGTAAAGGGAACCTTTCCCTAAGGGTCTTTCTGAAGCAAACTGAGGGTGGGCAGTGTCCACAGAGGCACCAGCAGCATATAAATCACCAGCCAATTATAAAACAACCAAATACTAAACCAAATACTAACCTGTTTGTGGCCATGAAATAGGAAGTTTGTGCCAAATCCTTGCTGGCTGCAGGAGAAAAGGACAAAAAAGGTGTTAGTTTGCATATTCTGGTCAATATTGGCATATTTCAGTGCAAGGACCACAGGGATTGACCAGCTCCAGACCACAGCCACAGGGATTTGGGGAATTACTGTTCACTCAGAGCTCTGTGTGGGTCAGCAGAGTCAGAACCAGCTCCAACTGATGCTCAGAGGGATGAACAGCTCTGCTGTGAGGAGAACTGGGAGTGTTCAGCCTGGAGAAGGCTCTGGGCTGACCCTATGAGGCCTAAAGGGCTGGAGAGGGACTTGGGACAAAGCCTGGAGTGCCACAATGAGGGAGAATGGCTTCCCACTGGAAAAGGAGAGATTTAGGTTGATATTGAGAAGGAATTCCTCCCTGTGAGGGTGCTTAGGGGCTGGGATGGATATTCCCAGAGGATGCCCCATCCCTGGGAGTGTTCCAGGCCAGGCTGGATAGGGCTTGGAGCAACCTGGGCTGGTGGAAGGTGGCCCTGCTCAAGGCAGGGCTGGAACTGGAACTCTAAGGTCCCTCCCACCCCATCCCAGGTTCCCAGGAAGCTCTGGAGCTGTCCCAGCTGGACACTGCCCCCAAGCCTTCTCACCTCTCACCAGCTGAGTACACTTCACCACGTGGGTGTGAGGATGATCAATGGTAATCTCAAACCCTGAAAGGACACAGACAAAGGAATCAGAACCAGCACCACATCCTGATCCATGTCTCCTGCTGCCCTTCCCTCCACAGCCCTGCCTGGAGCCATTTCCCTGCAGCCAGAGGCCTCAAGTTCCCCATCCACAGCCCCTAAGGGTCACTGCCAGAGTTCCTTGACTCCTGAAAGTCTTCATTGGAAACAAAACCACCAGTAAGGAAGTTAAAAATAGCAGGACAAAAGCTCTTGGAGCAGCTGGGAGGAAGGAGAAGACAATGGCATCTGCTCCAAGGAATTGGTGTCACCCAGAAAGCTAAGAGGAAGCAGATTGTTTCCCTTTGAAGGACTCAGAGCACTGAGGACAACTGAGCCCAAACTTCTGGTTCCCTCCTCACTTTGGGAATTGTGTCTGGAAGGAAAAAGAAATTCCAGCTTATCCATGTGTGCAGCAGATCTGCAGAAGGCTCTGGAAGAATAGGGATGTTCCAGAGGCAACTGGAGACCTAAGAGGTAGAACTGGGCTCAGCTTAGCCATTGGCTTGTGACCCAAGAACACCTCTGCCCCCTCCAAGGGATCTGCTCTGGATCTAGCCAGGAATGAGAGATCATGCTCTTTGGGAGGGAAAATCTACCCCTAAACTGCCTCTGAAAGTGTTATGTGTTAGTAAAGCCAAGTTTGAACAGCACATCTGGGACAGGAACAGGACAGCAGATCCACCAGGCACAGCCCCCTGGGGAGGCTCCAACTTCTACTCCCCAAAAACACCCAAAACCTATTGCTGTTTGGTATTTTTTGGTTTGAAGGGTTTTCTTCTCCATTCAACTCCATTCCCCAAAAACACCCAAAACCTATTGCTGTTCGGTATTTTTTGGTTTGGAGGGGTTTTTTCTCCATTCAACTCCATTCATTTTGATTAAAATATTAACTTTTAACTCCTATTTTAGACACCTCTCAGTGAAAACTGCTTCCTGCAGCAGGACTGGAGCACTGGGGTGGCACTAGATTATCTGTATGTCCCTTCAAACCCAATTCCATGGGTTTATGACTGAAAACAAAACCCAGGACAGAGCCTGGAGTACAAGCAGCACAAAACCTGCTTTTGGCAGGGGTAAAAAAAAAACAAACAAGAGACAATCCACAACTTCCACACTGGAATCTCTCTGAGCATTGACCTGACCCGAGTCACACCTGAACACACTGATGTGAACACTCGAGCTGGGGTGGGAATGGGGTTTGTTGCCTGGAATCTTCCCTGTGGAGAGGACATGGAGCTCTCCTGGCTCTGAGGTTCAGTCCAGCTGCTCCCAGCACTTACCCAGAGTCTGCAGGATAATGCTCTCCAGGATCGCCAAGTCCTGTGCTTGCTGCAGGTAGGCCTGGGGAGGAGAGGGCAGGTCACTCAGGAGAGGCACTGGATCAACCCCAACACTGTCCCCAGGGGCACAGAGGGAATGTCCCTGCATGGGAGATGGGCACAGAGCCCTGGAAGGGCTCCAGGCCAGGCTGGGATGGGATGAGTGTATCAGCCTGGAACAGAGAAGCTCCAGGGAGACCTCAGAACCCCTTCCAGCGCCTCAAGGGGCTCCAGGAGAGCTGAAGAGGGACTTTTGACAAGGAACGGAGTGAGAGGACACAGGGGATGGTTCCCACTGGCAGAGAGCAGGGATAGAAGGAATACTGGGAAGGAATTCCTTCCAGTAAGGGTGCTGAGGCACTGGTGCAGGTTGCCCAGAGCAGCTGTGGCTGCTCCATCCCCGGAAGTGTTCCAGGCCAGGCTGGACACGGCGTGAAGCAGAGGGATGTGGTGGCTGAACCCGGAGCACCTCAGGGGCACAGGGAAGACCCAGTGATTCCTGAGCCACTCCCACCCCCAGGGCTCCCTCCCCCACCCTCACCTCGCTCTTGGTGTCCAGCAGAGGTTCCTGGGGGTGCAGACAAGCATGTGCCACCTTGATGACATGCTCCAGCTTCCGAGGCTGCTCCTCC